AACACACAAACACACAAACACACAAACACACAAACACACAAACACACAAACACACAAACACACAAACACACAAACACACAAACACACAAACACACAAACACACAAACACACAAACACACAAACACACAAACACACAAACACACAAACACACAAACACACAAACACACAAACACACAAACCTCATTTGGGAAAGGAAACTGGATCCCATGGTATTTTATAGAAGTCAGTTGCCCAAAACATTCCAGCAAAAGCAAGCTGGATGCATCTGATTAAAAAAAAAAAAACCTGACCAAGTTCCACAAGCTACCTATCTTCACAGTTGTTTCTTTAAGAAGAAAAAGACTTGAAGGAAACATTAACTAGGAGCTGTTATAGAGAATACTATTTGGCCTGGAGATGGCTAGCAACAGTGGGTAAAAGAAACAAGACATGGCAAGTGTCTATTTCAGGTAAGTATTCTTGGTCATTCTTTTCTTAAAGATATGGCACAGACAAATAAGCTAGTCAGAGTAGGAGTTTTTCTATAGCCTGGTCAGCTGTGTTCCCACCAAGCAATGACAAACTGTAGAAACCCTGTAGAAGGATTAGTAGAGTACAGACCAGAGCTTTGAAGACCCTAAAATCCTAGGATTTCCAAAATAAGCCAAGTTTACCAGTACAAAAACTGGCTAACAAGTTCCTTTCTTCTTTTGAAGTTCTCTCACCAAGGTATTGCAAAATTAGGAGGTCTCTAACCTATTATTTCAAGGCCCGTGTCAGCCAGGACTAAGAACATGAGCCTGCGAGTCAGAGGAGTCTCCTTTCCACTCCAAGTTCAGCTACAAACACCTGTAGTGGGCACCCTTCAAATCTCATCATTCAAGCACTGCTTTATGCTCACATGGACTGCTAGAGTCCTGGAAAGCAGAAAGCAGTGAGCCTAGTGAAACCCTTAAGAGGGTCTGTTGTCACCACCCTGAGTTAACTGTACAGCTGGATGAGGAGTATAACTTCATCACAACAGACGTGCATTAACAGCCACAGAAGCAAAGCAACCCACATTTTCCCCACTACAACACCCTATGGATAGGTTCTATGAATCCAAGTTTGGAAGGGCTGATCTTGGAAACCTGAAGATCAAAAAGAGTTATATTCACATGGATTAAATTGGTTGTTTTGGTACCTTTATAATATGAAACCAAGTTGCTCATTTGGTCACTATGTTCTGGTCAGGTCCTACCCAGATGGTGATGCGAGATGTCACAGTAATTGCCACCAGGCAACATAGCTTCCCACATGCTGACAATGCAACAGTCTGTCCCTAGTCACAGCACTTGTCACGTGAAGTCATAACAGCCTTATTCCTCAACTAACTGGCTGCCTAATAACTCCAAGAAGTGGGTGGAACATGGAGCCTTCTGTTCCTTGGAGAGCAGACTGCAAACAGCCTCCAATGTCTAGCATAGAATAAAAACACAGATCTAACTCATCAATGCAAACAAATACCATTTCAAAAATGCAAGCAGAATGAGTTTCCACGTATTCTAGTATTTGCATCTTTGTAAAGTTGGAGGAAGCCTGAAGACCTGGATAGTTTGCTTTCTAAACTGATCTTTCACATGCAAGTGTTGGCTAGAATATTCTTAGACAAAAATACTGTTACCAGGGTCAGCTTCCGCAGGACAGGGATCACTCATCGATGTGAGATGTAGAAATACTGTATTGTACTATGCCATCAATTGATATTGTGTAGGTACTAATGTACTGTGGAGTAAGCCAGAGTCTGAAAGAACTTGATTCATAAAGTCTTTGGTGCCCCAGATGGCCTAATGTTGCCAACCAGGGCTGGCAATTATTTCGACTGGATGGCTGCCTAACGAAGCATGGAGGGCTGCAAGGGTAGCGCCCCCCCACTGCCCACAATTGACAGGCGCCCTGCCACCTGATCGCCATCTTGTTACCAGACATCCTGCCCCCTGACCTCAGCCACTGGGAGTCTCTCCCCTTGCCCAAGAAGTACTCATTTGGAGGGGGAGTTGTGTGCGTGATGCAGGACTGTTGGATGTGTGTGTGGTTGTGGTGTTGGATGCATCTGTGGGTATGGTGGGGTATCTGTGTGTGCATGTGGGGTGTGGGTGTGCATGTGGGGGTCTTCTACCCAGCCTGCTCTTTGCAATGTGGCTGAGCCCAGCCCTGTCATGGGCAGGGGAAAAAAGAGAAGGGGATCAGCTCTGCCTCCCTGGCTCCCAGCATGCTACAAAGGGCAGAAAAACAGCTGCCGCAGCCAAACAGCAACAGAAGGGGGGGGGGGACAACACGGGACAGGGCCAAGCCTCATATCACCAGCTCTTAGCCTGTTCCACACCTATCCAGCAGGGCTGCAGCCAAACCTGTGCTGGCTCCTGCTGCTTTCCTCTCACATGCCTACCCAATGGGGCTGCACCAAGTGTATACGCTGGCTCCTGGTGCTACTCTCCACTTTCATCTGTCCCTGCCTGCCCATCAGGGCTTTGTAAGCAGCTGAGCTCCTTCACATTCCCCCCTCCTCCTTCCATCCACACACTCCCCTGCCCAGCACAAGCAGGCCCAGAGTGAGCTGCAGGCAGAGCCCACCCTGCTCCCTTCAATGCTGCAACTTCCCCTCCCTCTGTCTGGAGTGCTGCAGCAAGGACAGGAGTTGCTGGAGGCTGGGGAGGCCCAGCAGCTCCCTGGGCACTGGTAGCAGCAGAAGCCCTGCCTGCTAGCAGGGGAGGTTGGGAGCACAGCACACTGCCCCAGGTAGAGCACAGCAGGGGCCAGATAATAATTAGTTGGTGGGTGCCTGTTTCCAGGCTGAATCCAGCCCATGGGCTCTATTTTGCCCACCCCTACTGTAAGCAGAGGGATTTTTCTGCTGCCCACTATGAAGAAGCAGCAGCTAAAGCTTGCCGTATGGGGAAAAAACATTTCTATACTGCAGGCAGCAGACAGTGGGATCTACACAGGTGCCCAAAACAGCAGTTTTAGAAAGTAGGACAGCAGGAGCTTGTTGGGTGGCTTGGAAGGAAACAGAACCATCTCAATTTGCAGAAGCTATTCTGTATAGCAACCCCTTAAGCTTGGCAGGTCATAATGCCAATTCTATTAGCTCAGCTAGTTTATTTAACTAGAAGTCAGTATTTTTCAGAACTGCTTACAAGTCAGAATAATCACCTAGCATAAGAGTTATATTACTGCTTTTATAATGTGCATACTTAACCATGATTCTGAAACCCATTACCTATTTTCCAAACACCACTAAGAGGTTA